AGTATAACATTTCAACCCTGGGTATGTCGGGTGTCCTATGTTTTGTCCATTTGTGAATTTGGTTGAAAACTCAAAGCCTTACGAACCTTCTTTCTGGTGACAGAACGTTGACGGTTTGTTCCCGGTTTCTCATCTTTGACCATCTAAACTTTCTTATCTGAAACAACTTGTTTCTCATTCACTCCCAAGAAGGCCGATAGCATTGTCTGCTCATGTTCCGAGAGATGGCTGAAATCAGAACTGGTTGTGTTTTTCAACGCCTCCGCTAAAACAGCAAAACGCTTCTTGTATTCCACTCCACCAACCTGTCCCATAGACTTTCCAGCTCGTGATGATGGACACAACAAGACAGATGGAGTATCTAAAAACTCAGTTTATTGAAATATAGATCCAATTTTTTCATCCAATTAAAGATCACATGAATGAAAGAACAACAGAACAATTACTCTACTCTAGCATGTAAGCCGTGAGTCGCAATTGCCTCCATAGTTCGGGCACTCCGAACGCTTCATGGCACAGATTGTAGCACCGTTTACAATAGCCAAATAACCGCTCATACCTCAGTATAACAATCGTTTTCTCTCCTCAATGAAACTCTACTGTGGTTTCAAAACAAAGTGGTTTAAAGCCATCAATCACCCCTCGGACCATTCCATTAACCGCTTTAACCGCATCTCACTAGAGACATCCAACAGTTGAAATGAAAATTTATCAAAAACGACTCTTATCAACTTGTTACAAAAACTATGTCACTGATGCAAGAAAAACAATCAATCATTACTAAGTTATTTGAGACCTCATCGTAAATTCTTTCATAAACCTAAAGTTTGTGTATTTTCGAAAAGTTAGTATTTTTGTGATAATTTTGGAAAAAACCTAAAATGTCATTTATTAATCAACCCAACTTTACTACGCCTTCACCTTTACCAAATCAAAACCTTCAAAGAAAAAGCAACGCTTACAGAGGACGAAGATATTTTCGATTACGTCTAATATCTCTCTTTTACCTTTTCGATTTGCTTAAATATTTCGTTGTTTGATTTAACCTTTCGTTTCTGTCTCTTTGTTTAGGTAGCTATGGTAAGAATCAAGAAAAACAGATTCGTGCATAACAAGTCCAGGCCCTATCAGCAATATGCGCGTGGTAGGACTTATGTGTTGATCGATACCGAAAATTGTAGCATTCCGTCTGGTTTTGACGCAACGACAACAGCTCCAACCATCATAACCACACTGAGAGAACAAGGGTACACATGATTCATTACCATCGTTGCAGTTGCCGCTAACCAAAACCGCGTGAATGCTAACATCGTGAGAGAACTTAGGGATAATAAGGTAACGTTCCTTACTTGAACACCACAGATCAACAAGCGGCCGATGAGAAAATCATTAGAATGATGCATAGTTGGACTAGACGCAACTCTTCTCCGGCGAATATCTTGTTGTTATCTGGCAACTACAGCTAGTGTTTGGCAATTGCAGCTACGACATAACACTAGTTAGGGCAAAAGACTAGTATTGTTTTTTTTTATTTTAATATTTTGTTAGCAGATTTGATGTGGTTGTGGTTATTTTGAATCTTGAGATAGAATTCTAGTCGACAACTCTGACTCTGCTTTTATTTATTAGCCCGACTTTTTGGTATTGGTCTCAAAACAATCAATGAAGAAATGCTAATCGTACTGCAATGTCGTATTGGTCACAGTTTTAACGTTATCTTTCCATTGTTCTATGTTGCAACCATTTGTTTAGAGTTTATCAAAGTACCCCAAACATGGTTTGCATAATCTTTCAAACCTCCAGAGAGCTATGATTTGCTTCGGATTTAATAGCTTTATAAATCGTATTTGGTTTTTAAGTTGTGTTAACTCTTATTTCGTTCACTGAATATACTAAGCTTATTGTTAAGTTTTCTACAATGCCTTTTAGATGTAGATATCTCCACAAAGGCATCATAGATGCTTCCCTTACCTAAGATAACATATGTTCCTTTCCAATCTTGAGTCTTGAACTCAAAACTCAGGTTTCTATAACTATTTTCATATTGAGTTATTGGTTGTTTGCTATTTTAAACGTATACACACAATTAGGTATTTGAATTCTTTATGTGCTTAATTCAAAAGGTTGCTCGAAAGATATACCGGCAAGCTGTTGTAGAAGTATTTGTTAAAGGAAAGTTTATAGAGAATTTTTGTGGTGATTTGGTACCAGGTTTATAGAGAGAAAGATTTATGTAACTGTCTAATACGGAGAATATTTTGTTTTTCTGTCACTAATTTAGAAGTGTTAGTAAATGATTAACCTAACGAAGGATACTATAATCCCACAAAAACAAAAACAAAAACTTTCAATCTACTAAAGGATAATAACACAACCCATAAAAGATTAAACGAATAAGATAAGGACAATGAATTGTATTTCTAGTGTAATTATAGGAAGAAAATATGCTTAACAAGAGGCAAAAACCTCCCAACAAATTGGGCCGTAAGTGAAATTCCCATTACCGGCCCATAGATATGATGAAAACAACATATATGATTATGACTTCATTGCCAAAACCAAAAACATGATTATGACATCTAAATTATAAGACTAATAACTAAGCTTAAGATAGTGATAAATTGATAATCTTCTCTCTCAGCGAATAAGAAACTTCTATTTGATCAGTCCCTTTTACCCTTTTTTATGTCGTCATCTTCACTTACTCTTCTTTACGCTGATGCATTTTACTATTGTTATAAGATAGTATATAATTTAATAAAGTATGCATGTCGTCACGTTGTATTTATTTGTCAGAAGATTAATATATATTTAATCATATGACCAATTCCATCTTCTCGTAAGCCACATTTTAATTTGGCTTTGTGACCCTTCGGGCTAATTACGATACCCTTTTCATTATTTGAAATACCACGTTTCTAACAAACTGGTATTATAGTATATATTATTAACAATTGTTTCAAATCTTTGACAAATCTTGAATGTTTAATAAAGGTTCTGCTGTCACTTTACTTAAAAGAAAAATTATTGATTTAAGTTTGACCTTGTGAAATATTGCTTTCATACGTTTGTATGCAAAGATAACTTAAATTATTTAACCGTGTTTTTGTAGTTAACTTATTTTTGCTTCAATGTAACTAGATCTATTGTTTTTGATTAACCATCATCACTTGACATTGTGATATATTGCATTGTTGCAAAACACAAACTATCTAATTTTTTGTTTACGTTAGTAATGAGATAAAGAGATTATGATTACATAAAAAACAAAAGTCACAAATATTCATCTTT